GGAGCTGGAAAGTGAGACGCTGAGGGATGACTAGTAGGGGGGAGGGGGGAGCCAATCCTTGTCACTAGTGTCCAGTCTGGACTCTCTCTGATCCAAGGACGGAGGCCCAGGAGCAGTTGTCTCAGGCGTTTCTTTTCCTGGTGTGCAGGAAGAGGTGACCTGTGTGTCCTGGAAAGAGGACTGTGGGCTCCACCATGCTATGCAGGGTTCAGGGAGACCCTCCAGCTCCCTGTGCAGGCTGAGCTGGGGCCCATGTCTCCTGTGACCTTTCTGGGATGCCCCTGGCCTCTGCCTCAGCCACTCCATTAGTGTCAACCTTCTCTTTACCTAATGGTGATGTCAGGAGGGAGAGGACTGCACAGCATCTCCTCACGGAGTAATGTGCTCAGAGACACAGGAATTAGCTGGTAGGTCAGAGCAGGATTATTGGAAGGGACCTCCAGGTCTGTTGGGACAGGGTTAGAAACCAGGCTCTGCAAGATCAGTTCTTGTCTGAAGGAAGTAATTCTGTGTGGTAATTTTGTATCCTGATGTCACCCTCTGGCCATCACTAGGAGATCTGCAGTTCATGTTTAGGATTATGGTAGAGATGATGACCAGTCAGTCCCTAATGCTGCGAACTGGCCTGATGTTTGGACACAGGTGAGCTTTAACCGCCAAGCTACAGGGCCAGTCATCCTGTTCACTATGGCAGCCTGGGCCTTCACAACCCCATCCAGCATAGAGTGGTTCTAGATGAGTCTAGGGAGAGTGAGGAGTCTGGGGAGAGTGCATAGAGAGAACGCCTCCAAAGTTTTAAGGAAAGTCCTGGGACAGTCTCTTGAGACTCTAGGGAGAGGACACCAGCATAGGCACAGTGCCTGCACATCACGTCACTGGTCCATCTCTTGTCCCTAAACCCTTCTGTTCTTTGTCCAAAAGATTCTGAGGGGTCTTGCTTAAAGAAAGCTGCCTGACCTTAATGGATGTGTTTTATATTCTTCCTTAAAGACCATTTTAAATCTTAAAATATTTATAACAAAAATTGTAACAAATGTTATGCATACAAATAAATACCATTAGTTATGACCAGTTGTGCAACTACCATCGATATTTCCAGATTTTATTACCTGAAATAAGCTGTAACCATTGAGCAATAACTCCTCAAGACCCTCCTCAACCCCTGCTGACCTCTAATCTACTTCCTTTTCCTATAAATTGGCCAATTCTTGGTACTTCCTAAAAATTGGTTTTTCTAACCTAAGCCTTTAAAAAGTATTTTTATTTTTTTAATTTTATTTTATGTGTATGAGTGTATTGCCTGTGTGTATGTAAGTGCACCTGTGTCATGCATGGAGGTCAGAAGAGGACATCGGATCCCCTGGAACTGGAGTTACAGACAGTTGTTAGCTGCAATGTGGGTGCTGGGATTTGAACCCGGGTCCTCTGCAAGAGCAGCCAGAGCTCTTAATC